ATGTTAAGAGGCATTTACTAGAGAATTGGAGGGCACGGGGGTGCTGGGGCTGTTGGCGCTTTGCAGAAATGTGTGCCCTTGGAGTATCTCATTCCCAGTACATCCTAGCACAAGGCTGGGCACAAGGAAAGCATCCTAAAATACTTATTGGAGTGAACCAGGTGCACATGTGCACATCGAACGTCCACATCCTACACGAGCCAAGATGTTCTTCCTGACCCGGGATGTTGTTCTGGACCTCTCTTCCACCTCCTGGTTCTTACCTGGTCAGCGACGACCGTTCGGTGCTTGTACATTCCAGGGTCAAGCTGCCAGCGGCAGAACTGGCCTCTCCAGCCTCGGGTGATAGTGCCTCCCCCGATGCCACCCAAAGGGCAACCTAGAGGGAGATCAGGATAGTCAGTGAAGCACAGCGAGAGGAAACGAAGCCCATTTCTTACTTTCTAGACCATAGACATGAGTTCCTCTAAAAACCACGGGAATATCAAATCAACACTTTGTACACTTTATTTTTTCTTTTTAAAGATTTTTTTTTTTTTAATTTGACAGAGAGACAGCAAGAGAGGGAACACAAGTAGGGGGAGAGGGAGAAGCAGGCTTCCCGCGGAGCAGGGAGCCTGATGTGGGGCTCAATCCCAGGACTCTGGGATCATGACCTGAACCGAAGGCAGACGCTTAACCATGGAGCCACCCCGGCACCCCTACATTGTACACTTTATTTTTTATTTATTTTTTTTTTTTAATTTTTTATTGTTATGTCATTGTACACTTTAAACTAATATGATGTTTCGTGTCAACTATAGCTCAATAAGGTTGGGGAAAGAAAACCCCAGGGGATGGGGCAGTGCAACGTGCTTAAGCTGGAAGCCTCTTTGCCTATCTCTGCAGTAGACCCGGAGGCTGGGCCCTCTCTGTGCAGAGCAGAGCTGGGGTGAGGCTCACCATAGATCTGTCTCAGGGGCACACAATTGATGAGGTCAATGAAAGGTGTCTTCTTCTCCACCTGGGTCTTCCGGTACCACCACTGCAAGTACCTGAGGAGCAAGAGGCAGTGTGAGTAGAAGGGGCAGGGGGTGGTACCTCCTGGGCTGCAGTCACCTGCCTCTCTCCAGATACCCAGTTGTAACTTCCCATCAAATGAGTCTGCAGAGGACCCATTCTCTTCACTTCCAAATCTGTCCTCCTCTCTATTTCTCAACAGTTCTATTTCTCTTCCCAGTCACCCCAGCTCACAGCATGGGACTGTCTTTGTTTCTCCTCTATCAGGAGCTTTCTGACCTTGCCTCACCTCTAATTCTACTATCACTGCTTGAGTTAGCTTAGGAACTTTTGTTTGAGGTGCTGAAAGGACCAGTTTTGGTTTCCCAACTACACCCCCCTCCCCCAATAGGCACAGTCTGCTGGGATAAATTTCTTCTTTTTAAAATGATTATTTTTCTTAGTGATTGTGAAAGGTGAAAATCTATAAAATATGCCAGATGGAAGGGAAAAAAATCCCACCCATAGACAACCAGTATTTACTTTTGGGGGCATACCCTTTTAAGTCTTTTTTAAAAGTTCATTTAAACTGTAAGCTTTCTGAGTCTGCTCTCTCATAATATCCTAGTAAAGCCTAAAAAAATCCCTACATTTTCCTGGTCTTGTCACAGCTCTGTGTCCAACAGGCAAATGATTCTGTTTGGGATTCAAGGCTCTGACATCTGTTTCAGCCTAACTTCTAATCTTAAGTCCTACAAATCCCCATTCAGAGTGGGTCCTCACTAAGCAACCCTTGCCCTGCCAGACTCTCCCAATTCCACTATCCTCCCTACCCAGCTATTTTATACCCATTGTTCAAGCATGCCACTTGTAACCGTGTAATTGGGGTAAGTAACTCCTCTGACCCTCAGTTTCCTCATTTGCAAAATGGGGTACCTCCTGTCCTCCCTACTTCATGGAGTGGTTGAAAGAGCAAATGGCATAATAGAGAGGAAACCCATCAAGTGGAATATGTGTGTCAGGTACGGTCGTTACCTGTACATACACTGTCTGAACGCCCAATCAGACAATCTTGTTATTTCTAAGTGTTCCTCGTGGGAGTCTGACATACTTTTAAATTCCTCGGGGAAAGGGTTATTGACAAAGACTAGTTGATTACCCACAGCATCAAGCACAGGCAGGGCATGTGGTCTGCAGTTGATAAACACTTGCTGAATTTACCAATGATTGTACAAGCAGTGGGGCACTAGACAGATGAACACAAAGAGAAGCAAGGGGAGGAGAAATGAGAATGGGAAAGGCACATTCTGGGAGTAGGGGGAGGAGGAGGGAGGGCAAAGGATGAGAGGATGGGAAGGCACAAAGTTCTCTCTGCCATTTTAGAGTAAGCTGGACTTTGAAACTAGAGGCCAGAAAGAATTGGGGAAGGGAGGGTGGGTGCAGTGGGGATTAGGGCAGTAAGGGAGAAATGCAAGATATGGAGATAGGCACAAAGGAGCATCTCGCATAGAACAAGCACTCAATAAATACTAATTGAATGAATGGACTCTAGCTGGAAGGGACAGCGATCAAAATTGAGATCTTCCCACAATGAGGCCAAGAGGATGTCGGCTTGCTACAACTCCTGACTAGAGTACCCCCAGTCTGGCTTCCTCTTAGGGTTCACGTCTCATTCCCTTAACTTGGCAGCTGGCCATTCCTGATCTATTTGGCCTTCTCCATAATGTCAGCCCCAATTTAAGGATTATCATTCAGAATTGTTCCTTGTCTCACCCCTGCTTTCTCCTCAATGCAGGACTGCATCCTGTTCTAAAAGCCCTGTGTCGGTGATTTCCACCCTATCCTGGTATGTGGAGCCAAGGTCCAGGGGGCTGAGCACAGCTTTAGGCCTCTGACTCAGTTCATACTTAGGGACCGAAGGGCTAGGATGCCCACTTGTTCTTGATCTCAGGGTCCCTATCACATGCACCCCAGCGCGCTTCTCTCAGCACTCTAGCCCTCGATCTTATTTTGACCCAGAAGCTTTTGGTGTCAAAGTTAGGCTGGGTCAGTTTCTGAAGTAGCCTGTAGGGATGATTGTTCTCTGGGACAGGCTACCCACAGGACCTAGCAAAGGAGCCAGATACCCAGACAGTGCCAGACCCTTCCCACTGCTGAGAGCTGGGGTTAGGTAAATGGGCTACCCAACCCAGCCCTACAGCACTGACTGAGAGGGAAGGATCCCCTAGTTTAGAGGCTGTTAGGGCTGGGTTTTCCAACCTTTATGCTTCCATCCCCAGCTGTGTTTACAGTGTGGGCTGACTCAGGATGACCTCGGGGTGATGCTTTCTGTCTTCATATCCACCTGTTCCTGTTAATAGGTCCTGGCTCCTCATCACTAGCTTTTGAACTCAGAGGGGATCTGTAGGGATCTAAAGGAGTTCTACAGCTCAGGGTAAGTGCTTGGGGTGTCTGTAACCCTTGGGGGAAAGCGCATCAGCGCAGGCTCTGGAAGGCTATTATTACTGAGAGCTCTGGGGACACTTATGGCAGTGCCTCTCTGGCCAGAGGTCTTCTTTGCTTTTTATATCAGGGATTGTCTATCCCAGAAGCGAGTGAACGGCACCTCTCACACCCTCTCCTGGGGGTGAGAGCAGGCAGGCTGTCACCCACTCCCTGGAGCTAAAGCTTGAGGAAAGAAACGTAATGTGGTATGCCTAAATGAGGCAAGGAGAGTACCCCAGCTGCTCAGGGGAATCAGGGTTGAGAACTTCCCCCTCCTGAAGAAAACAACATTGTGTCAGTAGGCAGCCGCCAAACTATCCTTTCCCACCTTGCCACAAAGTATAGCAAATGCCAAAGGGCGGTCTTGGGGAAAGAGGGATTATGTGAGAGGGAGCTTAAATGGGAAAGGCTGACTACAGGCCCAGATGTTCCTGTTCTTTCCTACTAGAAAGTAAGTTACTGGGAGGAAGGGGGTTGCAGAGATGTGACCCGGTCTCACCCCCCAAAACCACAGGCTTAGAATATGTTGGGGGTGGGGGGCCAGTTGACTGGGACAAAGCATCCACCTGCTTTCCCACCCTTTCTCACCTGGAACAAAGTGAAACCTAAGGTACTCTAGGCAATGGGATCTACTCACCGCAAGCCCATGCCCAGATGCTTTATCAGGTTGCTTAGAGAGACGTTGTTGGCATTAAAGGGTTTCCTCTTCTCTGCAAATTCATGAGCCAGGCAGATGCGCCAGCCAAAGGGAGGCACCTGGTAGCCCTTAGCTTTACCTTCATAAGATGCCATGAGTTGCCCAGAATCCTCCGGATTGCTGTAGCCTGGCTCACTTTGGAGTCGATTGTCCTCAGAGCTCTCGAAGTCTGTAACCTGCCCAGCCTCAGTGCCTCCAGCATTTTCAGGGCGATAAATCTGTGGTTCCCCTTTGGCACACCTAGTCTGCTCCGAGGCTGGGACTCCAGTTCCCATGTTTCCTGGATCCTGGGTCCCCACGACCTCGATGGTCCCGGGTCCTAAGTCTTTTGGTACAAAATACCTCGCCAGCCAAGTCGAGATGCGGGCGGCTGTGGTGGTTAGGTGTCGTCTCGGAGGGCCGGGCGCTGGGAAAAGCCGAGGTGAGCTAGCGTCTCTGTGGAGCCTGGGAGCTGTTGCTGCAGCGGCGTTGGCGGCGACAGCAATGAAGCCGCCTCGGACTCCCCCTCGGTAGTCTCTCTGGGTCCTGAGAGGGAAGGGTCGGGCCTCGTCGTCATTGGGCCGCGGTGATTAGTTTGCCCGGCCAAAGAGCTACCGAGTCCGCGGAAAGAGGAGGAGCCCCGGGGGCCAGCCCGCAAGGAACCGCCCCCGGGACCGTCCTGGGATCTCGCGGCAGCCTCAGCCCGGTCCAAGGGCCGTGGCGCCAGGCCCCTCCCTGGGTAGGGCGCCGGGTCCCGCCGGTTGGTGTCTGGGACAGCGCCTGCGCCCAGGTGCCAGCCCGTGGGAAGTTGACCCCAGGCGGCGGGACGACCAGAGCCCCTTCCGGTCCGGTCAGGCGGGCGTTTCCGGCCGGAAGGCGCTCGGTCGGGAAGGGGACTGAAGGGAAGTCCCGCCTCTGCCGCGGACATCGGCACGCACTGGGCCTGGTCCTGCCGGGGAGGGCAGGTGAGGGCCTCGGTGTGCCGCGACCCCGTTTTCGACCGTGCGAGGTGCCCGGGGTTGGGGCACAAGGTGACGGGCGGCCGTGGCCTTGGGCTGGGACCTGGAATCTGGCGGGCGGGGGGCGGAGGCCGGTTTGGAGGTTCCGGGGGGGTGGGGTAAGGGGACTAACTCAGCGCTAAGAGGGGCGGGGGACTGGGAGCCCGAGCGACGACCTCCCCCTACTGAGTCAGCTGCCACCCGTACTTCCCATCCACTTCCCGCACCCCAAATCCAGGAGCTTCCCTCAGACACCGTGGTGGTGACCGCCCATCTCCTCTGTCCTCGCCCCGAGGCTCGCCGCAGACGCCCCTGCCTGCCATGGTACTGACTTCTGACCCCCCCTGTTTCCTTCTAGATCTGATTCCGGAGCTGCCATGATTGAAGTGGTAGCAGAGCTGAGCCGAGGTCCTGTGTTTCTGGCGGGGGAGGCGCTGGAGTGTGTAGTGACGGTCACCAACCCCCTGCCCCCCACGGCCACTTCTGCATCCAGGTGGGAATGGAGATACTGAAGAAGGTGGTTCTTTTGGGAGGTAGCCTGGTATCTGTAGTGCTAAGCCAGAGCTCAGGTTGTCCTGTAGCTGCGCCACCACCTTCTTGCTCATTGTGTTCTCATTGTAGGAAAGAAAGGGCTGTTTAACAGAAGATGTGGTTGACACAACCCTCTACACTCCCTTCCTCCCTACTCCCCCATTCCCACTTTTACCCACAGTATACTTCTCTTTGTTTAATGGATTCTCTTTGGGGTTCTAGATTCCCTGATTCCTAGGACAGCCACCTCACCGTGTTGGTCTCCTCAGGGGGGTTAGGGAGCTTGGGAGAGCATTTATGAGGTCAGCAACTCCCCTCTGATGCCTTCTTTTCCTCCTCCCGTAGTGAGGCTCTGGCCTGGGCCAGTGCCCAAATCCACTGCCAGTTCCATGCGAGTGAGAGTCGAGTAGCACTACCTCCCCCTGACTCCAGTCAGCCAGACGTCCAGCCGGAGAGCCAGACTGTCTTTCTACCGCACCGAGGTTAGAGAAGGGCATTTGTCTTTAGAAGGGGGGAATCATTGTCATCTGAGAGTAAACTTGTAAAATTGTTCTAGTGGGTCCTTCCTGTCTTTGTCATATCGGAGATGAGGGGGAATGTAATTGTTACTTTGGGGGTTTAAGACTGGTTGTATCTTAAAACAAAAGGGGGGTGGCTTAGTTTGGGCTGCCTTTTGTTGGCAGTGCTTACGACCCCTACTTGCTGTGCTAGCTTCATCCGGTACTGGACAGAGGGGTCATTAAATTGCAGTCTTTTGGGTGGCTGCAGCCTGGGTGGCTCAGATGGTTAAGCTTCTCTGCCTTCGGCTTGGGTCCGATCCCAGGGTCCTGGGATCAAGGCCCACATTGGGCTTCTGGCTCAGCGGAGAGCCTGCTTCTCCCTCTCTCTCTGCCTCTCCCCTCTGCTCATGCTGTCTCTCTTTGTATTTCTGTGTCTCACATGAATAAATAAAATCTTTAAAAGAAAATAAAAATAAATTGCAGTCTTTTTAATCTCTTTTAGGTGAGAGAGGTCAGTGTATCCTTTCCACTCCACCAAAAATCCTTTTCTGTGATCTGAGGCTAGATCCCGGAGAGTCCAAATCATGTGAGTGATTGCTTCCTCCCCACCCCTGGATTGCCTTCTAAGGCTCCTGGAGGGAGGACTTCTCTGGCTGCCTCTGGCTGCCCTGACTACTACTTCCCAACCAGACTCCTACAGTGAAGTGCTGCCCATAGAGGGACCACCGTCCTTTCGGGGTCAGTCAGTCAAGTATGTCTACAAACTGACCATTGGCTGCCAGCGTGTCAACTCACCCATCACTTTACTCAGGGTTCCTCTGAGGGTTCTTGTGCTGACAGGTAAGTAAGGATTTCTGGAAATGATCTGTAGAGGGCTTGTGAGGGGGGCTGGAGGGAGGCTTCCTGGTCTTAGTAAAGGTGTGAGGGGGTTGGGGGGGGAGGGTTCTGGACAATAGGTTAAGATGGGTACCTGGGGCACGGCTCCCATTACTTTCAGCCTTCACAGGTTGGCGTCTAAAACCCTAACCTCTACTGTCTATTCCCTCCTAGCACTTCTTTCCACTTATTCTCTCTGTAGGCCTTCAAGATGTCCGGTTTCCCCAGGATGAGGCTGTAGCCCCATCTAGTCCATTCTTGGAGGAGGATGAAGGTGGGAAGAAGGATTCATGGCTAGCTGAGCTGGCTGGGGAGCGTCTCATGGCTGCCACATCCTGCCGCAGCCTCCGTGAGAATCCTTTCACAATTGCCACCCCCCTCCAACCCTCCCCATAGTATTACAGATGTTCCTAATTGCCACGTACTTCTGAGGATTCACTGATATATCCCACGTTATAAAGAAAAGCCCCACCTTGGCCTCTGGTTCCCAGCCCAAGGTACTCCCCAGTGTGGACGCCAGGCTTATAGTGTCCCATTCTCCCCAGATCTATACAATATCAGTGATGGCCGAGGAAAAGTTGGGACATTTGGCATCTTCAAATCTGTATACAGACTCGGCGAGGATGTGGTGGGGACCTTAAACTTAGGGGAAGGAACTGTAGCTTGTTTGCAGGTGAGAAGGAAAGGGGCTTTTGGGATGCTGGGCCTGGAGGGCTAGGGAGGAAGAAGGGCCTGCATAGAGGGGTGGTATATAGAAGTGAATAGTGTGGTCACCCAGGGTTCTTTTGGTAAAACAGCTTGGGGTTGGACTCAAGCCTCTCATCTAAAGTTTGCACTTCTCAGTGCCTGCTACCACCCACTTCTCTTCTTGCTCCCAGTTTTCAGTAAGCTTACAGACTGAGGAACGTGTACAGCCCGAGTACCAGAGGCGCCGCAGGACGGGGGGTGTCCCCTCTGTGTCTCATGTGACTCATGCCCGGCACCAGGAGTCCTGCCTGCATACAACCAGAACCAGCTTCTCTCTCCCCATCCCTCTCAGCTCCACCCCAGGCTTCTGCACAGCCGTTGGTGAGATCCTGACCCTTACCGGAGGGGGGGAGAGAGTAAAATGCCGTATTTCCATAGAGTGTAATGGGTCCTGATTCCTAACAAACTCCTGGCCAGACCCACACCCAGCCTCTGACCCTTAACACTTTCTCAGACCTTCAACCTGTGTCCTAGATGCACCAACACTTAAACTCTTAAAGAGCTTTGCAGGTATCCTTCCTTCTCCTACCCACTGAGACCCTATGATGCCTCAATCTCTTGATTCCCCGGCATGTTTACTTCAAGCTACCAAGTCTATGCTATGGTTATTAGATGCTTGACCTTGCTATCCTGATTGTCACATTTCTAGTTAACAGATTTCTAGCCCTGTGACTTCTCTCCCTCTCTTCCTGAATACCGCTTTTTTTCCTCATTCACTAACCACATCCTGCATTGGTTTTTGCTTCTGGCTTCTAATGCCTCTGCCTTTTATCTTTTTCTTTTCCACAGTGTCCCTGAAGTGGCGATTGCATTTTGAATTTGTAACATCGCGAGAACCAGGTTTGGTGCTCCTACCTCCCTTGGAACAGCCCGAGCCTGTCACCTGGACTGGGCCTGAGCAAGTGCCTGTAGACACCTTCAGCTGGGACCTCCCCATCAAGGTGCTGCCCACAAGCCCTACCCTGGCCTCATACGCAGCCCCAGGCCCCAGCACCAGCACCATAACCATCTGAAACTGGCTCACCGTGACACTGTCTTTCTTCAGGATACTAAGAACTCAGCATCTGGACTCTAGTAGGGCCCATTTTCCCCATGCGGGGTCCAATGGCACGGACAGTGAGAGGCAGGCTTTCAGCTGTAGCATTAATTTATTTATTCAGAATAAATTGGCAGCTGCTAGTGGTTTCCCTGGAAGTGGCAGCAGCAGTGGGCAGTCAGCAGAAGGGTGATCAGTTGAGTTTAGCTGGAGTGGGGAGCAGGAGCCCCAGGAGCAGGGGTATTAGCTGAGCCCCATTCTGGGTCGGGCCCTCCGCCTTTGCAGGGCAGCCGAGGGTCAGATTTTTGCACCAGGGAGAACTGGCAGGTTCCTGCCTCCTGACGTACCTCACAGCCCGCAGGAAAGTCGATGGGATGCTGGGACCTGGGGAACCAAAGGATGGGAAAGGAGTCAGCACAGCGAAGGGCCACCTTTATCCCTGCCCCACACTTGCTCTCTGCCAGCATTCCTCCCCTATCTTTAGTGCCCTCTTGGTCCCCCTAACTAAGCTCTCGCCTACCAGATACGGATTTTTTCATTTCATAGCAGAAATATTCTCCGTCCAGACCCACCCCTACATCCCCTCACTTTGTAGCCTGCAGCCTTATCTCTCAAACTCTTGTTGGTACCTTCGGGTTCGGCCAGCCTCCTACCACTGTTCTGTTCATTGTCACATCACAGCAATATGGTTACGCCCTGGCCAGCCCTCAGTCACTCATGTCAGAGCCATTCTCTCTGGCCATCTTTGGTCACTCACGTGTCACAGCAGCCCACACCGACGGGATGCAGACAGGTACAATGGAAACAGTCCTTGCGGAGCCAAGACTCACCCAGGGTAAAATACTTCCCTTCATAGTGGCAGGGGGCTAGGGAAGAACAGGAAATGTTAGTGTGTTTGGGAGTGGTGGTGGCAGACAGGATCGCTTGTGGTCTGGAGTGGGAGAAAGTAAGTGCATATCACCCCCATTTTTAGTCTCTCCTGTTTCCGAGCTGGGGGGAGTCTGGGTATCCCGATAGAGGATCATCTCTAAGCCCCCCAGATCATCTCTAAACCCCAGCTCCCTCTGTCCCTGTCCTTTCCTAACGCCTTCCCCAGCTTTACCTTGAGCTTGGAAGTAGCACTTGCTGTGGACTCCTGGCTGCTGGAGGAGCAGAGAGGTCACCAAGCAGATGATCCCCCAGCTTCCCAGGACCCCCTTCGCCTGTCCAGTCCAGCACATCCTTAGGGTCATTCTTGTGCACAGCCCTCGCGATCCCTTCTTGGTCTCTGTTCAGGCTACTCTGGCTTGTCTCTGGCTTGTCTCTGGCTTTTCTTTGTTTTTCTCCTTGGGTCTTAGTTTCTCTCTTTCTCCCCTGGGCTCCTGTCTCACACCATCTCCGTGCCCTCTGCTCTTGCAGGCTTGGGGATGTTTATAAAGTGAGGACCCTGGCCCCCTGCTGAGTAGAGCTGGAAAAGCTGTAACTCTGTTTCCTGAGGTGAGGGCATGAAAACAAGAGGTCTAGCTTTAACAAGCTGTGAGAGCTGATTCATGCCCCGGCACAGCTGGGGGAGGGAGGTGGCCATGGAAGGGGCACTGGACTGGGCACTTCCCCAGCAAGGAGGTGGGAGGGGTGAGGGCCCCCAGGTGGTCCCTACATCTCTTCCCTGACCTGGAGAGAAGGAAGCATTCCACCCCCCCCCCCCCACCCCCAGCACACACACTCCAGGGGTGTGTGTGCTGGGATCCTTGCCTGGACCGGAGGGAGGCATTTCCTGGGGATGGCTAATCCTGTGCCCCAGCCAAACCAAGGAGCTGCAGTAGGGTGCGACAGCCAGAGGCTCCAGGAGAGCGAACAGGCACCTGGAGTGCGGAATGTTTCTCAGATCCTAGGGCAGAGTCTCCCGGAAGTATCCTAGAGACATGGCTGCCCCTCAGAGATGGGGAGGTAGGTGTCTCTTTTCCACAGGCATACTGAGGATGCATTGTTCAGTACCTCCAAACATACGGCAGATAAAAGGTCTTCCCATATCTGGGGATGGTTCTTTCAAAGAGGAACATCTTTAAAATGCCCTGATGGTATGAGTCACTCCAGTTTCACAGAGGTACCCCTCTTTCCTCTTGTACATTATGGAATGAGAATTGAGGAATCCTCTGACATCCTCTTTTGGGTTTCCTGCAGGTTCTAGAGACCCCCAAGATGGGTGATTAAGAGCATAGGTTATAGAGTCAGACTAGTTGAATTCAGATCCTGATTCTACTTAAGACTGTGTGACTTTGGGCAAGCCACTTAACCTCTCAAATCTGTTTCCTTATCTTTACATTGGGATAGTAATACTAACTCAGGGTTGTTAAGAGGCTTTCAATGAGGTAATGCATGTAATGCTGTTAGTAGTGTCCCTGGCACATGGCCCTCAGAAAATATCAGCTGCTGTGATTGGTGCTAGAGTTCAGAGACAAAATAGGTGTGTTTCATTGTTTGAATCACATCGAGCAGCTCTGCATTGCTGAGGACTTTTGTTGGGGGCTGCTGTCTCCTACCACAGACTTCCGCCCATTTCACATTTGTGTTTCGTGTTGTCCTTACCACCTCCAGTTTGAGAAACAGTGTTGCTGATAAACCCACTTTTCCTAGGTCAGTACCCTTGCTTTTGCCCTGGGAAGAGGTGTCATTTTCTCATCCTTCCAGCTAACTTTGGGACTCCTGCTTTTCACATTAGGATTCTGATCCATTGCGTCCCGTCCCCACTCATGGGAACTCTCAAGTTCTTTTTTTCTGACCACTCTAAAATGCTGGCCATCTCTTTGCTACTAATGGCCCCTTTCCTTCGGTTTGCCACACTCCAAAGACCCCATCCCAGCTGTTCCCCCTCCTACGCAGAAGGCTGATCACTCTGACGTTCTCTTGTTCCTTCTAAGTCTCCTGTCCCTTTTACTTCAACGACTCTCCTTCCATGTCACCCAGTGGATCAGCTACAACTACTTCTGGCTGAGCTTTTTAGAGGGCTACCCTGCCTCACCTCTTGACCATTCAGAAACAACCTCATCCATTCACCTCAGACTCCCTGTCTGTTCCTCTTCCCAGTAGAGAGCTTAAGTGGATGGAGATGCCAGCTGTACATGCTCACCCTAGTTAGGTCTGATACCCTTTCTGTTTCAGAGGAGTACCGAGAGAAAAAAGGAAACTCATGGTTGAAGCAGGGTGCCCTGTTAATAGGCTTGTGTGTGGGAGGCATGGCTGGAGGAGGTGGATGAGAAGGCCTTTCTAGCACAAGGCCCAGAAGTCTTGTCAGTGGTCAGTAGCTCGGCTGCTACCTTTCTGGGGAAGGGGGTCCTGCTGACACCCTGAAAGTCTGGACCAGTCTTTTGCTCCTGCAACCTGGAGCCAACCCAGTAGGGGGCAGACACGGCTGGGAAGCTTGAAGGTGATGCTGGAAGGCAAAGGGGGCCCGGTGGGAATTGGTTTGTGTGAGATAATGGGGACCGAAGTGAGAGCCGCCTGTAATGAAGATAAGGTAGGCATATGGGCAGGAGTAGGGGGCTTCCGGAAAGAAAGGCGGGGGCTGAGCTAGGATCCCTCTCTCAGAAGTTGTGGGGCGGTGGGTGTCGGGAAGATGTTGAACCCACTTGCATTCCTGCTGGTGTGTGTGCGGCAGCGTGCGTCTCTGTAGCCATTTGGGGTCAGAGTCCACGCTGGTGGTTGCTATGTGTGTGTGCTTGTGTGTTGGGGATGTCAGTAGTTAGGGCCCAATTCTGTGATTCCTGGGGCAGCGGTCGTTGGGGATGCCAGTTGGGGGGGGCGCGGCCGGGAGGGGGCGGTTGGCGCTCACTGCCCGCGCGCGCGTGCGCGCGCGCGCGGGGACAGAAAAAACATCCGCCGGAGGCCCGGCCGGGCGGCGCTCCAGCGGCGCCGGGCAGGTGCGCGCGGTGAGGAAGTGAGCGCATTCCGGCCCCCCCCCCCCCCCCCCCGCCCCGGCCGCTGGCCCTCCGGTGAGTCACCGCCGACCCGCGCTGCCCGCCGCTGCCGGATGGAGGGACCGGCCGCGGCGGGAAGATTTGGGTGGCCGGAGCCCCCGAGGGTGGCTGGACCGGGGGAGCCTGGGGAGGGAGTTAAGGGGGGAGGGGCCCTGCGGGGTCCAGGTCCTGCATTTACCCCAGGTGCGAAACCCGATAGACACTGAATACAGAGTCTGTGACTGGAGGCAGGCGGGGAATGTCCCATGGGAGAATATTGGGGAGGAGGGGGAGTAGGGAGAAGGCCTCAAAGAGCTGGCCGAGGGGAGGGAAAAGGGTCCCGGGGCAAAACGGCAAGTGGGTTAGGTGGTGCTGCCCAGGGAGGGCGGAGTGCGGGGCTGCGGAGTGAGAGCGCGGTGGACTGGAGTGCTGGAGGACCGCAGCGCCAGTGTAGGCCTTGGCGAGCCAGAACCTGTAGGTGGAAGGGGACTTCCACACCAGGTAGGAAGGTGGAAATGGCCAGACCCCAGAGATAAAGTCTGTCCAGAGGTCTGTGCGCTCGGACAGTGGAGGCCAGGTTTTGGGGGTAGCGGGATTTAAGGTTCGATAGGTACCGTTGTGGCTAGGTCATTGAAGGCTTTGAATGCTGGCATGAGGATTTGGGATTTGGCCTCACAGGTAGAATCCACGACCTCTGAGAAAGAAGAGTAGTGAGTGACTTAAAGGCGAGGTTTTCTGTGTCTAACATTACTGCCTGCCATTTGGCCTTTGCCAAAGAATTAGGCATTGATGTGCTAATTTTAATAGTCATTTAAAATCACATAACTGCATTTATCAAATGATTAAATGTTGTTTTAAAAATAGAAAAGTTGAAAAATCTGATTCAGTATTTGATTTGGAACCCTCAGTAAGGCTATCAAGATTAGTTAAATGGCATTGTAATGCTTTTGTGCCATTTTCCCCTTGCTGACTTGAGTGCGTTCTGTGTTTCTAATGCCCCATTTCTGTTATCAGCACAACACATCTCATTTCCCCCTCCCTCATCTTATGGTCTTTATTTTTAACCTTAGCTTTTTTCTGTGCAGCCCTTTAACCTGTCTTATGAATCCTGAACCAAGTAAAACATTTCTTGGGGTGGGGCAATAGGCTACAGTATACAAAGACAAATAACTCGGTTTTAAGTATATATTAGGTTACTTACTATCTCCTATGGGCATGTATGTAACTACAGAGTTTCTGTTTTTACCCTGTGGCTGATAAAAAGAGGAAGCTAAAGGTGTTTTATTCAAAGTAGCATTTCTGTAACAGCACTTATTAGTTTGATTGCTAAAATTAACTCTACAATGGTATTTTGTACTTTCTCAGAAACTGATGCTAATTCTGTCATGATCTTTATAGTTTATTTTATCTGGGGCCAAAGGCAGTTCCAGGGAGTAGGATCTTTATATAATTTATTTTAAAGATCTTTAAATCCTGCAGTTGCCTTTGGCCCCAGACCAGAAAATCTGGGTCAGTTAATTAAAATAATAATAATAATAATAATTTCCTACTTTGGGCCCTGTTGCTTTCTCCTGTGCTGTTTCAGGCCCAGCTCTACCTTAATCCCAGTGGCTTTTGCCTTCATTCCTTCTTTGCTCTGCTGGGCATCTTTAGAGGAAAACTTCACACCAACTTCCTCTACCATAAATTCTCTCCCTTCCCTTAACTCTGCACTTCTCTTTGCCAACATACACCACTACTTCTTCATTGATTTTTTTTTTTTTTTTTTAAAGCCTACAGCCCTCTCTGGCTCTTTTCCATCTTTAACACTCTTGTTGAAATCTTCCTTTTTCTGCCTTTCTCTTTGGTAAGACCTTAGATTTTTTTTTAAAGATTGGATTTTATTTTTTCTGCATGATCTTCTGTCTTCCTCTTCTCTCACCTTTTTCTGATTCTAGACTGTTTGTAAAACCTGTTATGCTTGCTTTCACCAAGGCTTCAACCTTACCCTTGGCATTAAGCTCTTCTTCCTCTAAGATGCTTATGTTTCCACTCTTTTTCCCACAAGAATAAGAGTTTTCAAATTTACTCTACTTCAGTCTCTTCCAGTATTTTGCATCCAGAAGTGTGACATGGTCAATTGTAGAATCCATTGAATGACCCCACTTAAGCTTGGTGTTGTGCTAGCCACTAAAGAGTGAATTTCACAATTCTGGTGCCATATTCCTCAGTGCTTACCAACAACGGATGTTATTGCATGCGTGTGCATGAATTCTCTCATGTACACATATATGCTAAAATGCACAAATAATATAACACGT